AACAAAGCCAAGCAACAACCAATAAGGGAGGAACCGAGGCAAATTATGAAAAACTCCACACAAGGAAGCAGCAGCCAAATCTCAAGCCCCCCAATAACTCTTCATAATTCCGAGAATAAATGCGATTAAACTGAAAACAAAATAAACTGCAGTAGAAATCCTAAGGGAACCAAGGATAGACAACCCAGCAACAAAGAATCCATGCAAGAAGCTCTGAGGAGTGGAGAAACTGTAACAACGGCACAACCAGCAAGAGTAAAAAGACAAAACACAAGCGAAACAGATACGCAACGAAATAGACATTAAAAAAGAAGGGCAGAGGAAAGTCAAGAATTCACCCCAAGAACAGTCTTTGAACCCCCGAAAGGATAAGATACGTCAACAATAAAAGGAATAGTAGTTCACTGTGCCCCCAAAAAAAATACAGAGATTAAGGAACGGCCTGGACTCTGCAGATAAGCCTGAGCACAAATACGCAAAGATGGTGAAGGTAAAAACAAGTCAAAACCGAGGCAGGGAATCTCATAGAAGCACAACTACAAGAAAGAAGCGAACAGATCACATAAAAGGAAAAGGAAAGTCACCCAGAAATACGAACAAGCAACAGTACTATCGATCAGTACCGAAATCTTCCTCAAACAAGTAACAGAGGGAGGAGTACTCAGCCGACAAAAATCCCCGCGGCATATCATAGAAGGCTGAATCCACAGAATCCAACAAGTAGTAGGAAAAATCAACACCCGAACCCACCTCTATCAAACGAGACCCAATACAGCAGTTGCAGAGACAGAGTACATTTTCAGCAAGCAAGTCCCCCGTCTAAGGAATAGTCTTCAAAAAGGGAATTTAGTCTTCAAAGGGAGGCCATAGGGAAAATAACCTGGAAACTCGAAAAATCTCAACTCCGCAGCCTAAGTGAAAGAAAATCCAAAAAGAGTCCTAAGCCAAATCCTAAAGAACAATGGAATAAAGCCCCCAGAATATCTTCGGGCAGATGGAGTACAAACCATCGAAGGAAATCCCCACGGTTTCCGAACTGCCGAGTGAGAAATAGTCAAGCGGATAGAGCTGAATCGGAGAGGGGCATAGAACCGGCAGAACGCGACGAAACGGGTCAAATCCACAGAGCAAATCCTGTAGTCCCGTAAGGATGGATAAGTACAATAAGGAAACAAGAAAAAGAGTGTCGAGAAAAAGGAACAAGAGAAAGGAAGACACTAAAAAATGAACAAATCCCGAAGCATCTGATAGCAACCATATCTAATTAACCTCTCATAAACAGGCGACCCTCTCTTCAGTGAATAGTGCTAGAAAAATTAAGAACCAACCCAATAGGGACAAAATAATAATGATGAAGGTGAACGACCCGACAAACAGCAGGACAGGTAAAAGAATCCCACCAAGGAAAGAAAGTCAGTCCCCAAGAGTCCGGTGCCAGCAGGATCAGCTCCAACTAAGGAAACCTGAGTTCACATCCAATTTCTATAGAGACGACAACTGCATGGACAAGTGAGGAGAAGTTACCCACCCAATACAAGGCGAACCCATCTAAAAATCGAACTAGAGAGCAGGCCAAAACTAGCGGGAAATGCAAAGGAAGAGAGGAGGGGCAAAAGAATCAACCATCAAGCCTCAAAGAGAGAACCCCGAAGTCAGACTTAGGTAGAGGACGATAGCTCCGGATCTTAGGTACAACCACTCCTGATTCCCAAGAAGAAGTCAGCGTAAAGCAAAGGAGTGTCAGGTCTCTAGAAGAAAACGAAGCAAGAAGACAAGCTCCGAGAAGGAATAAGTGGAGGATAAGAAGAGGAGGCAACAATTTTAACAGAACGAAACAGGAGCACCTAGAGACCACATAATAAACGGCTGAGGAGAGTCTAAACAACGCAAATTCCCGACCGAAAAAGAAGAAGAATCGAGCGGAAAGTAATGAGAGGGACCCAGGCTCCAGTGAGACGACCACGAATCGGCTGGGCGGAACCAGGAGACAAGAGTAACTAGGAGCGACACGACGTTGGCATTCCACAAAACACCCCAAAGGAAAAGTAGAACCCCGGAGCTGTCGACTAAGGGTGAAATCGCCAAAGCAACTGAGCCTTAAGTCAACCTGGCTATGACGTGGCCAAAGGAAGCCGCAAGAAACTCAAGGAAGCAGAACACGACTCAGACAGCCCCAAGAAAGGGAGTACTTCTAAGACAGGAAGGGCAAGGATTGATGGCACCTGAGCCATGGAAACAGGGATACCCCCGGGACAGACAGAAAGGAAGTTATATCAGGCGTCGAAGGACAACTCCTCAGGGCAGGAATGCACTGACCCAATACAGGAATCCAGGACAGGGCCAGAAGAAGGCTCCTTCTGCAAGAGAGTCAAAGGAAGGATTGCTCCAGCCAAATGCGGAGAGCACGGGAGCCTGAGAGGAGTGAAAAGACCAAATGGCAGAAGGCACCAGTGACTGCGTAATAAAAAAGAGAAGAGTGAGGAGAAACCAGCTAAACAAAAGAACACGAAGTCAGGGTGGAGAGGTAGACAGTCAAGGCACAGACAAGGACACATCAAAAAAGGCATAAAATGGGGACAGAAGTAAGACAGAAGCAAAAAATGAAGAGATAGGAATAGGGCCAAGAAATTCACCAAGGCCCAAGTCTCCCGAAGTAAGGGGAGGGAGCACCAGAGTCCAAAAAAGAAGCTGCCAAGGCTGAAGAAGGGGAAGAGAACTATAAACCAACTAGGCCACGTCAATAGGTGCCTCATTCATCTCTAAGACACCCCAACACAGAGGACCAATCATATAGCCAAGGATAGAAGTCCCGAAAAGGGGATTCCCAGCCCAGGAGCTAGATTAAGGAGGGAAGAGACAAGGAGGGGGGAGTTATTTGCCGTCAGTTGAAAATGTGAGTTAAGGAAGAAGTTGATGATAGGAGACAGGGGATATCGGAAGGATTCACCAAATCATGAAAATAGAAACACCAACAAGGAGCAGAGGAGCTATCTAGGGGGAGAAGGAGTCATAGTGAAAGATTAAGATTCAGAGACGGCAGAAAGCAGAGGGGCTCAATCTTAGAACAGAGCAAGTGATGAGTGGGAGGAGATTATACTAACCAGTTGAAAACCAAGGAGCCCCCGATCCAGCAGGAGAGCAGGAGGAGGGGGAGTGAGCCGCCAGGGAAAACCCTAGGAAAAGGACCAAGAGAAGCAATAAGGAGGGGCGGGTGGTAGGGGCATAACAGAAGAGAAAACGGCGAGGAGGGGGGGCGCCGAATCCTCAACGAAATCCCAAACTTGCCCCACGGCCAACAACACGAGACACGCGGCTAAGTCATTGGAGCAGAACGCTAAGGAATCCGTACATCTCGTTTGGGAACATGGACGAAGGGACTGACTACAAGCCAGGGCGAAGTCTCAGGCGTCAACACCCACCAAAAGGAACCTACACCACAACAGTAGAAGGAGGGACGACAGACTCCCGAGGCAGGTCCGGAGGGTGAGGAGAGTACTGGAAGGTGGAGAAAGGAGAGGGGCCCCCAAATGGGGGTATTATGTAGGGGGACAGGAAGGAGGACCGAGTCGAGTAGGGGACAAGATATCAGGAAGAAATTGGACGGCAGGAATATCCCGGACCGAGAAGGCAAGGTCTGAAGGGAAAGGAACAAGGAAAACCAGAGCGTATTAAGTGAAGGATTGACAGCAATATAACGACGATGACCAGTCTGAAGGACTATCTAAACAGTATTACAGAGCGGGCCAAGTCCGAAGCGACGGGAGACGACGCCCCATGGCACAGGTTAAGGATCGAGGAACTCAAAGACTATGAACCGGAGGGGAATGCTAAAATATCATACGGGAGGTGGGAGGATCTCCTAACCGAAACTGGCTCCTCCCTAGCGAACTTGGGGCAAAGGGCAAAGATGATATGTCAGGGTTTAGAAGGATGGATGAGTAATTTAGAGCTCGAACGAAGCGAAGGAACAGTCTATAAACAGAACCAGTGTGGGCCCGAGTGGCTGGGGATAATAAATTCCACAAGAGACAGCAAAAGATGTCCATACAACAGAGACATGGAGCACTGGCAACATGCAGGTTCAAAAGAAAGGATCCAAGCGAAAGACACGAGGCATAGAACATTACTAGAATGTATGGATATCATATCAATCCTGCTCGTGATACTGAACAATATATCAGCAGGAAGAAACAACTGGGTAACTCTAGGCGGTAGAGGGGTATGTCAAGCACTATATGAAGGGTTAAGATCTTGGGGGGGTAAGGAATTAGCCGCCAAGCTTATGACATTTTGGTTCTTGAGTGGAAGGAAGGCTCCCCTAAGCGGACGATACCAAGTGGACTTTGACGGAACCAAGGACTCATTCTGGAGCGGGATATTGAAGTCTTCAGGGGCCTGGAAGAGGGGATTGCAGTGCTCAAACAGCAATACCAAATCTGATCAGTATGAGACTGTTTGTATCTGGAATAGCAAACTGGAAAACTGTGAGGTGATTCAAGAAGACCAATGGAATCAGCACGAGGTAAGGAAAACCACGCAGCGGGACCCCCCCACGGGGCCAGGCAATACCTGAGTTGCGTGCAGATACGACACTACCTGACGAAATCGTAGTGAGCCTGTGGGGGCAGGAGACTGGGTTAAATCTCTTACAGTAGTCGCTTCCCCCCACCTCCTCCGTGAGTGTGGTAATTTGTTACGTACTGCTTCATAACTGAAGATGACCAAGCAGAAGAAGAAAGGAGATTCCAAAGGAAGGGGGGGGGGAACAGGATAAGAGATATACGACCACGGCTCATGGTTAACTTTGAGCCGAAGGAGGGGCTCTAGTTCGTTGCAAAACATGAGAGACATGGCCCGTCCAATTACGCTTTATAGAGGAAGGTTGAAGAACAGAAAGGGAAGGATCTGATCAAGAAAGAGGAGGCAGACATCCAGGCATATTTACGGGAGGAGTTGAGAAAAGAAGAGGGCCTCGAAGCAGCTTCAGGAATCGACAGTCAAGGAATAATGAACAAAATATTACAGACGGGCGGGGCACTGGCAGCAATGGCCCCACTGTCTTGGTATGCCTGGAAGAGAATCTTTAAACCCACGGGACGTTCCTCTCGGACTAAGTTGAGGGTAGGTTACTTAACTGGGCATGCCAATTGAGGGATCGGGGCTGAAGGGGAGCATTCTCCAAACGGCACAGGCGGACTTATCCGGAAGTCCTTTCGACGAGAGAGGATGCACGCCAAAGATTAACGATGAAAGGGGAGATTCACTCCATTTATGAGCCGAGGGTGACACAGGATCAGGAGAAGACGGAGTGGAACTGACTGCAGCAAGCTCGCATCCGAGCAGTTCCATGGGGAGAACGTTCCTAATGCAACAGATAGAGGAGAATCCCGAGAGTAGGGCCGCAGCGAACTTTAACGACCGAACAGGACAGCTGGAGTTGAACAGCTGCCGGACGGAGGATTAGCGTGGGGAGGCAGAGGTGGAGAGTGGGGGGGCATTATGATTTGGGCCTATTTCCAGAGAGGTTCTTAGTGGGGTCCTCGGGATTGTGCTTTGGGTTTTTAGTCTTAGGTTTACTGGGTTAGGGTTTAGGCTTTAGAATTATGGGTTTACGGTTACGGCTTTTGGGTTTAGGGTACTTGGTTCAGGGCTTATGGTTTCTGGGCCTGAGGTTCAGGAGTCGGCGTACCTGATTAGTCTTTAGTTTCTGGGTTCAGGTTTTAGGGTTTATGGGTCAAGGTCTAGGGTTCAAGTGTTAGTGATTATCGTTGATGTTTGACTTTCAGGGTCTATGGTTCTGGGTTCATGCTTTATTTTTTGGCTATAAGGGTCAGGTTTTAAGGGGCCCCTTTAGGTTTTAGTCTTCAGGGGTCCGGTTTCATTTCATGGGTTAGGTTTTTAGTCTTAGATTTTTGGGTTCAGCCTTCATGGTTGAGGCTTTAGGGGTCACGTTCCAGGGGTTAGGGTTTATTTTTAGTCCTTCTCGTTTAGAGTTTAGGGTTCAGTGATTAGGTTTCCGCGGTTATTGTTTATTTTTCACCTTCCAGGGTCAGGGCTTACTGGTTCCGCGTTTCATGGATTCAGGGTCTTAGGGTTTACGTTTAGGGGCCAGGGGTTCAGGTGTAGGTTTTAGGGTTTAAGGTTTAGGTTTAGGCCTTAGGGTTCAAGTTCAGTTTTATTTTTCAGGGTTTAGGTTTCAGGCTTTATTGTCTAGGGTTGACTGTTTAGGGTTCTGGGGTTTATCGCTCCGGGTGTAGGATTTGTGTTCAGGGTTTAGGTTTAGCTGTCAGTTTCTAGTAGTTATGCTTCTGGGTTCAGGCTTGTGGACTTAGGTGTCTTCGCTTAGACCTATTGTTTAGTGTTTAGGGTTTATGTTTCAGGGTTTAGGTCTGAGAGGATGCTTTTAGGGGTCAGGGTTTAGTTTTGATGGGCGAGGGTTCATGGCATATGGTTTAGATTTCAGTCTTGAGTTGTTATGTGTAAGGGGGGAGGATTTAGGAGGTACGGTTCATGTTGTGGGGGTTAGTTCTTACATTTCCAACGTTTAGTTTTTAGTTGGGTTGTCCAGTCCCCAGGGTTTAGGATTCTGCGGTTATTGTTCAGGATTCTGGTTCTAGATTTCAGTTGTAAGGGGTTATGGCTTTACGGGAGCTACGGTTCTGCGTCCAAGGTTCACGATTCAAGGATCAGATTTCATGGGGGGTTGTTTAGGCCTTAGGGATCAGTTTTGAGGATTTATGGTTTGGGGGTTAGTTTTTAGGGTCCAGTGCCTATCTATTAGAGCTCAGGGGGTAGTGTTGATGGTTCAGCGTTGATGGTTTCTTCTCAATGTCCAGGTTTTATCGGGGCTATTGGTTAGCGTTAGGGTTCACGGTTTACGGTCCTGGGATCAGGTTTAGTTTTTAGGCTCCAGGGCATATGGTTTCGTATGTATTGTCCTTATTTTCTGCATGTATGTGGAGTCTTATTGGGTTATGCTTTACACTCCAGTTTCTATGGTTTGGGGAGTATGTTCTTGTCTTTTGGTGGCTTCTAGGGAGTAGTCCTGTTTTCTACCTGCTTTTTGTTGGTTTATTAGTGCTGAGGCGTTGGGGGTTATTTTTGTAGATGTGAGGGTTCCTGGTCATGATTAGCTGGTTAGGGGGAGACGGTTTAGATTTAGTCCTAGGGTTTAGGGTTTAGGTTTATTTTTTGGGTTTAGGGTTTATTTCCAGGGTTCAGGCTTTAGGACTTACGGGTCAGGTTTAATGCTTTAGGTTCATGTCTTAGTTGTCACGTTCAGTTTTAGTTTTCAGTGTTCAGTTTTCAGGGTTTAGGGTTTAGCGTTCAGGGTTTAGGGTTCAGTTTTCCGGGTTCAGCTTTTAGGTTTACGGTTCAGGTTTTATGTGGGGCGGGCCTCAGGGGTAGGGTTTACGGTTTATAGTTTCGGGTTCAGGTTTAGTTCTTAGCTTTTAGGTTGTAGGCTTCTGGATTTTCGGTCCTTACTTTTGGCGTTTGGGGTTAGTGTTATTTGTCTATGCTGCACACTGCTGCCTCTATGGTTTAGGGAGTAGCTTCTTGGTTTAGGGGGCGGTTTCGGGATTAGTTTTGGGGTTTACTTGATTGGTGTCCTTTGGATAGTCTTCTGGGGTTGGCGTCCATTTTCGTGGATTTGAGGATTTGAGGGCAGGATTAGGTGTTTAGGGGTATACGGTTTAGATTTAGCTTCCCGGGTTCTAGCACCAAGCTTCTTTTGTTGGTTCTTATATTTCACACTTTGTGGTTATGTTTGTATGGTTCACGTTCAAGGCTTCCTGCTTGTTTTTTGAGGGGGTAGGCTTTTTGATCGATTCTTTACGGTTTTTAGCCTAGGGTTGACGCTTTAGGCTTTAATTTGTACTGTTTTTGGTTTCTTGTTAGATCTCTGATCTGCGGACTGGTACTTTATGGTCATGGATTTATGAGGTTCGGTGTAATGGGTTTCGGTTCTGCCTGACGCTTGTGGTTCATGGTTAGCGTTTAGTTTTCAGGGGCAGTTTCCAGTTTTCATCTTCCTCCTGTTGGATCGATTATTTTTCATTCACGTCTTATGGTTTATATTTTTTCGGTCTCTTCTTTAGGGATTATGCCATGGGGTTTAGGGGTTTCTGCTTCGGGGTTTAACTTTACGCCTCATGGTTTACGGTTTGGGGTTTTTCAGTCTAGTGTTTATCTGTTCGGAGTCTTAGGTGCTCCTTTATTCTGGCTTATTAACGAGTTGAGCTTCTGTTCCAGATATACTGCTGACGCTTTACCTTTCAATGTTTAGCTTCGGCGGTTGAAGAGGATCAGTCTCGTAGGTTTACGGTTCAGGTTTATCATTCAGGGTGTAGGTTTCCCTGTCTAAGATTTTCCGGTGTAGTCTTAATCTTCAGCGTCCTTATTTCATTGTCGATGGTTTTTGCTCTAGGGCTCAAGCTTACTGTTTTCGGTTCATGTTTTATTGTTGAGGTTTCATTTTTTACGTTGCTGCGCCTATGGTTTATGGTTTAGCCGTTAACTTTTACACTTTCCTTTCTATACTGTCCGTTTCTGTTGGTGTGGGCGGTCCGCTCGGCTCAGCCTTGTGCGTGGGTCCTCTCCTGGGTTCATGGGTTATTCTGCTTCCTTCTAAGTCCTGATCTGTATGCCTTAGCCTCCAACGTGTCCTTTTCAGCTCAATTTCTCACGGTTTGTTGCTTAGGCCTCAGGCGGTCCAGTTCCTTTTTGTTGATTTCTTCTTCATGGGGGTGGTTGATTTGTGGCAACTTCCTCAATGTTGAGTCTTTCCGCTTCAGGGTTTCGCCTTCAGCTTTACAGTTTCCTGTTGATTTTTCATCTGTACAAGTTACGGTCTCTTCTTCAGCCCCCTGGGTTCAGTGTTCTGGTGTGTTGTTTTGGCGCAATAGGTTATGGTTGAGCTTCTATCGCTCATTTGATGCATAGCATTTTTGTGGTCCCTCGTTGAGTTGCTCCTGGATTATTACTTTCTCTTGAGGTTAGTGGTTCAGTTTCTACGCTTTACTGTTCTGGGGGTGTGTTTCAGGCTCAGGGTTTATTCTCTAGCTGCTCTTTTTTATGATCTTTGGTTGATGTATCATGGATCAGGGTTCATGATTCAAGGTTCTAGTTGATTTTTTTGGCCCTATTCTTTGCGCTTTATGGTGTATACTTGTAAGTTATGGGTATACGGTTGGGGGCTTATTGTCGATGGAGTACGATTTACACTGTCCGCTACACGGTTGCAGGTTCAGCACTTAAGCTCCTTGGATCTGGAGTCGGCTCCTATGGCTGTAGGTTCTACTGTTCCCTGTTTGAGATTGTTCGTTCATAGTATATGTCCCGGATGTTTCTCTTAGGTGTTAGTTTTATAGATTAAGATTCACAAATTCTTTGTTTAGGCTGGAAGGTGTAGGTGCGTGGGTTTCTGCCTAGGATTGACGTGTACAGTGTCTGTTCAGGATTTATATCTCAAGGTATTGGATCTAGCTTCTATTCCTCCTGTGCTGTGGTTCAGAGTTTACTTGTTGAGTTGTGTACTTACGGTACACGTGTTGTGTTCTGGTTTCAGTTGGTTAGGCCTGGGACTTTAATAAGTGTTGATGTTCTGTTGTACGGATTAATCCTAAGGGATTAGGGTTGATTGCTTATAGTCCCCTGCTGCCGGATTATGTCGTATATCCTGAGTACTCAGGTTTTAGCTTCTATTGATCAGTTTCCACTTATTGGTCAAAACGTTGTTCAGTCGCACAAGTGCATTGTTCTGTATAATTCCTCGACCCTATCCACAAGTAAAGGATAACTAGGAATACACTCGGTTACACATCGAGGAGATATACCTATTCAGGCATATTCGGATGAATGAAGAATGATATATTGATTTCTTTAAGAAATTATAGTTAGATATATCCAAGAAACAACATACCATCCGTAATCTTCTAATAACCAAAGAGGAACTAACATGAGCACATAATTTCCTCTGCAGTCCTACACAGAGCAATTCGAGAAATAATCATGAGAAAGTTCCTGCTAAACCCGAATAGAGCTATATTTACCTGGGTTTCCATCACAGTTCTGCAATATGTACAGAATGTTACTAGACATGTTCCTTATTATGTTTGGGATCTCGTTCTTAAGGCAAATTTTTGTTGTATTTAACAGGACTATTCTGTAAACCTGCTGGAGCTAGTAAAACACTCTCAGCCTCAATGGAGTATTATGTACAAATATGATAATATGTTTGCAATATGGAGGGGCGCCTTTGCATTTCAGTCTCCTCCTTTTCCATACTTGTGCTGGTATAAAATGAAATTCATCCTTTATTATTAATTGGGCGGACGTGATAATGTATACATAAGTGGAAGAGGAATATACTGCAGGATTATTTTATAAGGACACGAATGTCATCTATTGTCCCGGCCAAATCTGGTAAAGACATATCTCGGGTGCTGATACATCAATAGTGCAATTTCGCCGCTGTTAGGCTCCTTGTCCATAGTGCCGTATAGATATTATCTATATGTATATATATAGGGGACCTCCCCCTTCTTTAATTGTTTTCCTTCGAGAGCAATATACTTCTGATCCTAATTGTTTCCACAGGACCCCCCTCACGTGTTTCCCCCCGGAACCTCCGTGCACTTATGGGGTGGATCCTCAGGCGATTTCTCCTGGTTGATATTTGTCCTCTGTTGAATTCACAGATTTAATGTCCCATATAATATAAAGGCGAGATACGTTACGTTAGGACACCCCCTTGCACATCATAATATTAACTGCTCCCCACATAACAAATAGGTGGGCAAAGAAGAAATGATCTGCCCTAATAAGAATATACCAGGATCCTATATGTGGGATTTCTGGCCTTTTGCAAAGGGAAGAAGAAAGAGACATAGGGCCTAGATAGGCTTCATTAACAGATAAATACGGATTCACTGTAGTAGGTAATATATCATTGAGGAGGAAACAAAGGGGACAAGTGTCCAGTCCTCAACATCTCTTGATACAAGGAACAGGCAAGGAGTGATGCACCTGAAGGAACTATATAGTGAGAAGTACAGTTGAATACACGATGTGCAGAGTGCTACCTTGGCAGTGACGTATGGGATATTTCCTTGTCTAAGGGTTCGGAATAGGTATCTGCAAAGGGGATGTTCGTTTTCTCTTAATATCCTCTGGCGCGCTCTATGTAGAAATAGGATTCCCCCTTCAACTCAGAGAACTCCTCTTGCTGTTTGTTCCAACTTAATTTCAGGACAGGGATCATAAAGTAGTCACGTTGGGGGTCCTGCACCCGTACTCTGTAATATTTGCTTTTTAATTGATCACAGAATTTTTGCGTTCCAAGTCTTGCTGGCTGTACACACTATGGGGAGTTCGGCATTTCTCCTTGAATTCAACTTAATTAATAGGACATGTGACTGCGACATGTTCTTCCTCGTATATGAAATCATCTTTGAGGATATAGGTCATCTACTTCTCTAAGGAAGAGTCCGAGGCCAAATAACAAAAAGAACAACGGATAAGAGGCCGGCATTCCAGGCGTCGTGCACACGATCGCACTCTTTGTGGTGTAATGCCTCTAACGATGACTGGATGGATCCGCATACAAATGAATTCAGAAATAACCGGAAGAAATTATAGGGATGTAACAGATATTTATTGAGTCATAGGAGAATCATTCCTGATTACAGATCGTTGTACTAATGCATCCAGTGTGAGAATGCTTATAATACGTGTCTGCACCCTCATCTGTTTCGTGATCTGCTTTAATAAAGAGTAAAAAAAATACAAAACAACAAAAAGGGAAGGTAAAAGTGCTGAGGGGTGACAGATGAATTAATACATCGTCCCCCATGTTAGTAGGACAAAGATTAAAAAAGAAGTCACATGTCCCTCCTAATATCAACCTGGAGGGAAAAGATAAATTATGTAGAGATTGAACAACGAGTAGGCAGAACGGAAGTGAAAACAGAAACAGCTATTGTGAAACACATGAGAGAGGGCATATAATAATTCCACTGATAACCCCTCATAGAAATCCTTCCTGAATTCTCCTGATCCACACCTTTAAAGACACCAGAATTCCCCTTTTTAGAAACTAATGAAATGGGACCAGTGAGTTTCCTTCTGTTAGACATGAAACATACTCGTGATCAGCTCCAGGAATGTAGACGCCAGAGAAAAGAAAGAGAAACCTGCTTTCATGACAGGAATAAATTATATAGCCATGTTAGCATTGTATACCAGATTCTGATTCCAGGAGATGTATTGGCATTAAGTTATGAGGCATCCATATAGCTATATAAGTTTGCAACATTCGGAAGATATCCAGGACACCTATAAGATTGGGGCTCTTTATTCATAATTTTACATACCACAGGAACGGTTTTATAACAAACATATTAAAGTAAAACTAAAATAATGGACTTAGTCAAGGCAAGATACCATGTTACGATACGGGACATAGTTGAAACGTGATGTAGATAGCAAAATAAGAAAAAAAGGGGACTAATTGTTCAAATTACAAAGGGGTTATGGGAGTTACGATCCCTCTTCAGCGAGGGAGAAACCCCGCTATCATCTCAACATAGTCTCCAATAATAATCAGTTACTATGTTGGAACAGGATACCGAGAACTTCTCTCACATGTATTTCTCCACGCCTCATATACAATCCTTAAAACGAGGCTTACTGATACGGTCGAAGGTTTGCCGATATTCGGATACTTTCAGAAGCACATATGGATATCTTATGACGCCTAAGACAAGTAGTCCATAAGATATAGAAAGGACAACTGTGAATGGGACGCCTACTAATAACGGTAATACTTCCAGTGTGAATGAAACCAGCATCGGTAAAAGTAGCATCAGACGATATACTTCAATCCCTAGTAGCTAGTACTCACTGCTCCTAATATGCGCATGGTTTCTACCCATGTTGACCGAATTGTATGCCTTATATGATAAGGACGCTGCGGGATGATGCAGAATTCTTCGACATGTATGTATTATTTCT